TTATTTTTACTTTTTTTTATGACTACAAAATTGTCCTTCATTTATATCCCCTTTTTTGTTTACTTTGTCAGAGATGTGTATTCCATTGCCATTCCTATATTGTAGGTGTGTGAATTCAGCAGAGTAATCCAATATTGGACTGAATAATTTTTAAATACTACCAGTTTATTTGGCCCAAGGGTGAGGGGTCACATGTTCTGAGGGCTTTCTTGCTGTCATCGATGAAAAAGGTTATTGGACATGTGTGTGAGATAGAAAATCTGTCTGAACTCGTCCTTATGATCAGGAACTGCACCAGCATTATTAGTCTGTTAATGAGAATGGAACCTATGTGGCCTAATTGCCTCTCCAAAGCCCTCTTTGCTTTCAGGATATTCATTGATTAGTAACACAATAGCTAGTGCTCTGGGAGGCCGATGCAGGAAGGAGGATCACAAGTTCAGGCCCAGCCTGGGCAATTTAGCAACTTAGGGAGATCCTATCTCTTTTTTTTCCCCCCCACCTTTGGCAGAACCAGGGATTGAACTCAGGCCCTCGCGCTTGCCGGGGAAGTGCTTATCCCACTGAGCCATCTCCCCGGCCCCAGATCCTATCTCAAAAGCAAAAATAAAAATAAAAGAAAATAAAGGGATGGGGATGTAGTTCAATACAAGGGCACTGGGTTCAACCTCTGGTAACCTCCCAAAACTCAACAAAAATAGCAAACATCAGTTGTGGAGGGAATGTTTAAACCACAGCAGTAGGGAGATATATTAACCCATTATCGACTTACAATATGTTCAACTTCAGGTCAGTTTCATGGAGCACAACCCTGTGGTACGCTGAGGAACATCCATGTCTGCGTGTGGTGAGAGGATAAGGGGAGGACGTGAGGGCAGCGTGGCTGGGAGGGATCTATCCCCTCACTAGGCCTTTCCCATACCAGTCCTAACCCCTGTGCTGATCTTAGGCCACCACTGAGATGTCAAGGCTAACAATGTGCTTCTTGCCAGTGTCCTGATAAGCCTTTCCCTTGGAGTTGTTGGGATGGCCATCTGCTTATGGAAGACAGTTGGTGACAGCCTCAGAGCCACAGACATATTCCCAGCAGACCTGAGGCGCTTGGCTTCTAGCTTAGATTTGAGAATCCCTATGATCCAGAGGTGATGGCTTTTACCAGTTTCAGTGCAAGTGTTGTCCCCCGGATGGCCCGTAAGCAAGAGGGTCCCCCCGGATGGCCTGTAAGCAAGAGGGGCCCCCTGGATGGCCCGTAAGCAAGAGGGGCCCATCCTCTTCGCTCAGGTCTAGTCCCTTTTCCACAATGGAGTGTCCCAGTAGTGCTGCATGCCAGCAAAGCTCTGGGAGGGGGATGGAGCATGAGGTGCCATTTTTATCTTCAACTCAGCTGTGTAGACGTTGCTATCTGTTTCTGGTTTCTGCTTCTCCCTCAGCTTCATAATCCTGCGTGAGTTTCACTCCTTCCGGTTGTCTTTGCCTTTAATAGGGACAGCTTTTTTGAAATGTAATTCACATGCTGTGCAGTTGGCCCTTTGAAATGTGTGATCAGGAGGGTTTAGTTGCTAACAGATTTGACTCCCCTCCTGAAGAACCCTGTAGTTACCGAGAATACCTTCTCTCTCCACTAGTGTTGAACCAGCTCTACCCATATCATGAACATTTAGCCAAAAGACGTCTTCCACTGGTAAAATAGTTAAAAATTTTTTTGTTTTGTTGTTGTTTTGGTCTTTTTGAGGTCGGGTCTCACTATGCAGTTCAGGCTGGCTTTGAGCTCACTTTGTAGCCCAGGCTGATCTCAAACATGCAGGGATCCTCCTGCCTCAGCCTCCTGAGTGCTGGAATTACAGGCTGTACCACCACACCCAGCAAAATAATAAAATTTAATCAGCTCTTGCCAGGCTTGAGAGGCTGAGGCAGGAGGATCTCTTCCAGTTTGAGGCCAGCCTGAGCTACATAGTGAGTTCAAGGTCAGCCTGAATTTACACAGCGGGACCTTTTCTTAACAAAGTACAACAAAACAAAACACCCCAGAACAAAACAATAATCAGCCCTTCAAGGGGACTGAGATTGCCAGATGTGGTGCATGCCTGTAATCCCAGCACTCTGGAGTCTGAGGCAGGTGGTTTGTAGGGAGTTTGAGACCAGCCTGGGCTACAAAGTAAGCTCAAAACCAGCCTGAACTGTGTAGTGAGGCCCTGTCTCAAACAGACAAAGATGGTGGTGGGGCAAGATTCACAGACAAGGGCTATGTTAGTCTCTTCCCACTAGTGAGGCATCCTGGCCCCTGAAGGTCTATTTATAAAAAGTTTTTAGGGGTTGGGAGTTGTAGGCCAGTGGTAGAGTATGTGTTTAGCAACACAAGGCCCTGCATTCAACCGATAGCACACACGTATGTGTACACACAGACACACATGCGTGTGTGCACAGTTTTATTTGGTTCCTTTTTCTTTCTGTCATATTCTATTTGTTTGATTTTAGGTAGTTTTAAACTCACTGTAGCCCACACTGGGCTGGAACTCAGTGCAGTCCTCCTGCCTCAGCATCTGGGATTGAGTGCTAGGATTACAGGCGTGTGCCACCACACCTGACAGCTAAGTCCCACTCTGTTGGACTGTGTAGTAAGCACAGTGCCACTTAAACATAGACAAGGAAGAAATAGTCATGTGTTGTCACTGCTAAGTACTGTAAAGAGAAGCAGTAGAGTGAAAGGACCAAGGTTGGGCTTGGCATCTCCTATGGGAGAGCATCTGGCATTGGGACAGGATTGTAGGACTGGTGGGCATGCAGAAGAGTCCCCTGGAGGTGCACCGGGGGCAGTAAGGTTTTGCCTCAGGAGGCTGCTGCTGAAGCAGGTTTCAGTGTAGGAGGGCTGTGGTTTGGTCTGTTGCTGGCTTCAGGGCAGTTTGGCAGCTGTGTTGATCCAGACTGCAGAAGCAGGGAGGCGGTAAGAGACCAGCCC